GGGGGGGGGGTTCAGGGGGGCATGAATTTGACCATAATTTGATGCTTTGCAGAGTTAGGTTGCATCCCTGTTCTTTGTGTTGCCTATTTGGTCATCAAGACTTCCGGATTTCTTCTCTGGATGTAAACAAATGGGTGATGGACTTAAAGGAACGGAACTACAAGATCACCCAAAGTTTTGTTATGTTTATAGGCCTATCTAGACCTGAATACAGAAGGGGAAACTGAACCAAAATATTGACACCCATGTTAAACTAGACAATTATTTGTGGGAGGGATTCTATAATGAGCAACAACAATAAAAACAGAGTAAGGTATAATATATATATATAGGGTTTGGGGGAAAAGTTAACCCTGGAAGCTTGCAGGCTCAAATACAAAGTGTAACAAAGGGCGTTAGCCGAGCGCAGGCCCTCTATGTAAAGGGCAGAGACGCTGACCTTTTTCAATGGAAAATTTCAGTATGGAAAATGACGTAGCGCGTAGTGAGTTACAGAGATCTAAGTTATAAAGAGTGACCAATAATGACTTTGCAATTTATCTCGACCTCGTAGAGCATCTCTTGTCCAAGATGTCGATCGTTAAAGTGACGCGGTCCAGCTGAGCGACTACACGCTATGTGAACTATCACTTGTTCTGCTGTGCTATTTATACAAATTGGTGAGTTCATCGGGTTTTGCACTTTGGATTTATTTGATCGCTTGTCATGTTTTAATTCTATCAGCTTTAAGAAAAGATATGGTTTTGTATACCTTTTATCATCTGTTGAGCCGTAAATAATCAAATTTCAGTAGCAGGTATACATCTCTGGTATCTCTACTGATATCCCCTGCCAAACCCCCATGTTTACATCCGATCGGCCGTGGCGGCATGGCATTTTTGGCGGGTTACTTCCGGTGAAACGCTGAGTGCTTCTAGGGTTAATGATTGATTCAAGGTTGGGTTTACGTCTCTTTCTTTAGATTGTGTTTGTTGGGGTAGTCGCTTGTTATGGAGATCCTTCCTTATTTGTGAATGGAATGGGCTGAAAATTGACAATTTTTGTGGTTTTTGTTGCAGCAAAATAATAGTTTAAAATAGTATTAAAAGATTAATTAAAAGTTGGATACTAATTCCAGTGCATTGCCAAGATAAGACTAGATCTAATTATGATGAATTTTTACTTTCACTCCTGCTCCCAGATGCACTGCTTTGGGCATCAAACTGCAGTATTGTTTGCTGCAGATCACATGTACAGCTGCTAAAACTGCTGCAAATCAACTATTTTCAAGCAAATTTCAAACAGAACTGCAAAATATCAAATTATGGGTTAAAGCAGGGGGGCATGCCCCTTTGTCACCCCCCAGAATACAGGGGGGCCTAACCCTCCCTTTTGGTCCAAAGCACGCAAATTACTACGCAGTTAGACTTAATGTGATGTCGCTCGATTAAAAACCATCAGATATTTTTTTAAACTATTAATTTGTGACTGAAATGACGTTTATATTCGTGTTCAGTGTATCAAATAGATCTAGAGTAAGAAAATCCTAATTTTATCAACTCATTTCAATTTGTTACATTTTTTAGTTTAAACATTTTAAAATGCTAACATGGTTCAGTAATGTACTCACGCGTTCATTCTTTTTGTGTAAATGTAGGCCTAAAAAAATATATATATATGCTTTTGGAAAGGGGGGAAAAAACGTAAATGTAAAAATGAATGAAGTTTTAAGTGAAGTTTGATTGATTATGTTTAATTTCTACTTGATAAATGTGCACAATTGATTACCAGCTATGCACATGATCAAGTTGCAATGTAATTAATCAAACTTCAGCAATGTTCACGGGGTTCCCCTCGGTGGCCGCAGGGAGTCCACACCTCGGGTTTGCCCTGAGGGCGTAAGACGTGGGGTATTGCTATGTCCTGGACTGTTCCTTCAAGATTTGTATAGATCAAGATAAAGAATATTTTGTTGGTTCCCCTCTCCTTATGCAGGTCACTCTGGTGTTTGTTTCAAGAAATTGGTCAGCTTGAAGAGCTAGGTGTGTCAAGGCCGCATGTTTTCATCTCTGCGCGCCTCCTCCAAGAAACGGGACAGCGATGGCATCTCGGCGTCGTCGGGGGCCTCCAGGAGCTCGGACGCCAAAGGGAGAACCACGTCCTTCTCCCTGTCCCGCCTGTTGCCGCTGCGACGACGCTCCAAGTCGCGCACCAGTCTGGACTCTGAGCTCTCCCGCTCCGACAATGGGGGTGTGTGTTCGGGACTAGGCTCGTCCCCGTTCCCGGGCGGGGGGGCTGCGTCGAGGAACTCTCCCCCTCTGCCGCTGTCCAGCGTGGTGTACTTGAGCCACAGCTACAGCAGTATGGGGGCACAGGGCGGCCGGGAGCAAGGCGAGGGGCAGACCAACTCAGACGGAGTTCTCTCCTCACCCGCTGATGTCCCGAAGGACGGACCGTCGGAGAGTGCTTCCTCTGAGCTGGCGCCCAGCAGTGTGGACAGGAAGGTGGAGATGATCGAGTGCCCCGTGTGTCTGATGGAGAAAGCCAAGAGCTGCTTCCTGGAGATCTCCACCTGCCACCACCGCTGCTGCTCCAAGTGCTTGAAGGAGTACTTCAAGGTGAGCTGTATACGCCGCGCCACGCACCTCACATGCTGCACATCACACTTCACACCCCGCACATCACACCTCACAACAAGGGTGGTCGGGGGGG